CCCCTACATCCTCCTGCCACTCCTCACACACCCACACCCACAAGTACCCCCACCCTCACATCCCTACTTACCCATGACTGTGCCCAGTTCCTGATCCTTGCCACGCTCCTGCTTGCCCCAGCATGCTAAGGGCTCATACCCCATGTGCTGGGACAGCAGAGGCACCATAGAGACACTCTGGCCAGAAACTAAATTGTCTCTCTGAAGGACCCCCTCCCAGGTTACCTCAGGGTACGGTCCATGACCTGCCCCACTTTTTTTCCCCCCATTTTTTATTTTGATACCTGGATATCCAGGTATCAAATTTTGAGCCAGTGCTCAAAAACATTTTTTGTTCCCTGAGTGCCTCTTGCCATGTCTCAAACTGCTTTGAGATGCGGCAAAAGGCATGTGTGAGCTTGCCTGGACACGTCCTAAGACAGTATCTAGCTTGACTTATTTAAAGATATATTATGGCCCTATGGATTTCACAGATCCACATACTTATATAGCAATGTGTTTCCTTTTAGCAGTTTTTTTTTTTTAAATCTACATGGGACTTAGATGATGATTGTAGCAGGAGGGCACCCTAGGGTCCCGTGCTCTCCCCTAGTGCCCCTTACCATTTCCAGTTTGTCTACAAAGCACCCTTAATTCTCGCCCGCCACATCTTTGATGCCAAATGTATATTGTAGGGAGGCTGCCTCTTCGTCTCCCAGGACACGGTTTTCCTCCTGTACATTAGCCCTGTTTCACTAATGGGTGTTCCTGCGCACCCCAGCCTTATGGGCTATGTGTGGCTCCAACCACCCCTTTACCACACCCCAAGCCTTGCTGATGTACCAGAAGTTCTTTGGTCTTACTCCTGTCACTTGGGCTCTCCACAGCCGCTTCGCGCTGCCCACTCTCTGAGCTGAATTTAAGTGAGGAAGAATCAGCACATAGGTGAATTGAAGGTCAGAAGTTCCCAGAGAAGCCACTTCAAATTGATTCTTTCCACAAGATGGTCATAAATTATACAAGATGAAAAGCGAGGCACATAACTAAGACAGTGGGCATCTACAATGGGGAAAGATATATGGCCCTGAGAAAGGTGTCAGAAAACCAGATATCTGTTATCAGTGTGATAAGAAAGAAGAGTGACTTGATGCTTACAAGGAACTTTTAAAATGGTTTCAAGCAAACCTAGAAACTCATGGGCAGGACTGTGACTCAAGATGAGACACAAGCCCACCACCCATTTTTAGCCCAAATCTTGCAGTTTTACTTTGCAATCTTCTCTACCCAAGACATGTAAAAAATGACATCTCCTTATGGGATTACGAAATTGATGGCGACTAACTCTGTCTAAAGAGGCAACATCATCAAGAGGTAGTACTATGTTCTGTAAGAGGCTATGACGAACAAGTACCATGCAAAGATGAGTTGAAGAGTGCATCTTTTTTAGGAGAGTATACGGCCACATACACACATCCCATGTTGCAGTCACCAGTGACAAGATGTGATTTTGAACTGCTTCCCCATTCAGCCTGTCCACTAGGTGTGGCTCCTTCAGGCTTCTATTTATTTTACCACTAGTAAAATAATGTCATTGCAACAGAGTAGTAGTTTCTGGATCTGCAGGACAAGGACTTCTACAATATGGGCATAGCCAACATGCAGCTGTGTTGGACCAAATATACTGATATCAGGGGGACTATATTCAAACATAAAATGGTATTTCTCTCTGTGTAAGGGAAGAAACTTTCTGAATGCTCCTCATACCATATGTTGCTGTAGTCAAATGAACAGCAGGGGTCTATGACAATATTATATGGTGAAGCTTCAGGTATTATCGTCTTGCCTGCTCTTACCTGACAAGAACAGACAAGACTGCCCTCAGTTGGCTTCATCTATTTTTCCTGGTATTATCTCACAGAATAACGTTTGACAATGATTTTCTGCTAAGAATTTCTGTAATGGAATACTATTCAGTTTAATGCTGCCAACCCATTGTTTCAATGTATATATGAACTCTGGATGAGGGGAGAAGGCACTCCAATACTCCATGTGGTGAATACACCAAACTCTATATTACCAGTTCCTGTAGCTTGGGTAGTAAGGACGAGAGTCTTTTTTAAAGTTTAGACATAAATGAGAACAAAGTCTTTCAATATTGAGCCAGAAAAAAACTAAGACCTGTATTAAATTGCAAGATTCAATTAGAGAATTTGACTAAGGTTATATGGGCACAAGCATGAAATGAATGTAAGGGAGATGTCCATCATTTTTGTTAGTAAGGTTTATGACTTGAGGATCTCGTTAAATTCCTTTTATGTCTAGTCTCCGGGTTTAAATTTTTTCTTCTGAATACAGATATCACCACAACAGTCAAGGTTTTTGTCATCTTAAGGTTGCTTGCAAAGTGCTTCACCTTTATCTACTAGGAAACTTGGAATTAGTCCAGAATAAAGTAGCTTGCCTATTATTTGCAGTATTTTACTATAAATGTAAACACAACACCTTTGCTCCAAATTCTGCCAATGGCTGTCTATCATATGTGGATGAATTTTAATATGCTGGTATTGTTCTAAATGGTCAGGGATATATTTAAACGCTTGACTGTCTGTGGTCCTACACAATTATGCCACAATTCCAACTGGTGAAAGTTTATTAGAGGGAACTGTGAACAGGTGCTCTCTGAGCCTAGGGGTTCACTCTGAGCAGGTCTAAAAAACTCAGTTTCAATGTTCTTGGCATGCAAAATCTATATCTTGAAGGGCTGAGCTGGGAGGGAGTGGGATGTTTAACTCAGTCTGAGACAGGGGAATATTATAGTACTACATATTTTTGCTAGCTATTACTTTTTCCTTCCAGCAGATTTATTGTCATTGCATGCTTTTTTTCTTACAATGCATTGGATTCTTTTGGTAGGTACTGGCTTGGGACAGGCATTTAAAAAAACCAAGCATCTATTTAAATAAAAATAAATATATACTTTTATTATATATCTGAATATTTGGGGAGGTTTGGAGAACAATGAACAATTCAGTTCTTTTTTTTTTCTTACCTGAGAAGAATATGTGTGACCATCTGATCCACAAACAGGATTGGTATAAACTACTGGACACTGCTTGCAGTTTGATGAAATGGGACCACCCCTCCATTGTTTATGGCCTAAACCAGCCTCTTTCATACTGTAAGTAAACAAAAAGCATGAATCTGATAAGCAATGATAGTAAAAAAAAAAAGAAAGAAAAAAGAAAAAAAAAATACAAAACCAGGTTTTTTTTTTAGCATTTGTAAAAAAAGAAAATCCTCGTTATTTTCATCTATTATTATTATTATTCTCTACATATTGAAGTAGTAGTCCATAAAGTTCTAATGGTTATCAACATATATTTTATACACTCTCTTTTTCAGCTGTGTTACATTGTGCCCCTGTGATTTCTGAGTACTTCCATGATATTTAGAATGCTGAATGCCATTTAGTAAATGAGACATAATTAAGACAGAAGATACAGTGACTGTTATTGTGCTAGTGAGGAAAAATAGTTTGAAAAGAAGGGGAAAAATGGAGCTATTATCAATACTTGTGTTTAAGACTTGCCAAAAGCTATATTTGACATTCTGAAGTAGAATCATTAAAGGACACACGGAATGCTATGTACTTTCGTGGTCCTTTTTTGTTTCTTTTTTCTGCTTCTGCCCCTTATAATTTAGATTCACCAGTTGTCTCTGTATGAAGAACTCAAAAAGAGCTGGAATACATATAAATACATCTAGATATGTATGCATCTCTAAGCTCTATACACCAATATGTGGAAAATAAGCTAAAATATACCATCTTAAATGCAAAACTTACAGTTGCTGTTAAAGTTAATGATCTATAACATCTAAATTTATTTATTTATGAATTTAGATTCCAATTTTGTGAACCGGGGACATGGTTCATTCAGTTGTAAAATCCCCTTGTATATTCTTATCTTTTTACACAAATAAAGATACTAAAATAATCAGTAATGACTTCTGTTATTTGTCTACTTAAAATCTTAATGAGGAACAAAAGAAAAATGCAATAAATTTGGAATGCATTCTCAATCCACTGGGACACATCAACAATTGAGTCTCCAAATGCATCTTCTAAAAAAGTCTGTAGGATTACAGTTGCTTGAATGGGCTCCCAACTTTGTGTAATTCCATTGCTTGGTTCTCAAAGGGTTTAATTTGGAGATGGACCAAACGGCTCTGCAGGTAATTGGTGAAGCGCAGTTTAAGAATCACTTATCTAGACTGATAAATTGAAATTAAATTATAGGAAACACTCTTGTACAAGCATCTTTCAATTTGTTTGTGGAAAAGGAAAAAGCACAATACACATATGCCTGACCTTAGCATTTATATCTAATATCCATAACTGTTACCACTCATCTTTTTATTCCTCATTACAATTTTTGTTCTGATTTAGTCAGAAGTAAAAAGAACATTAATTATTATTCCTCCTGGAAGATTTTATAAGGAAAGTACATTTACAACATATCATCAATCCTACTTCATCCAGACATTTTCAATAGCCAGAAAAAATACCAATTCTAGTTTCAGG